ATAAACGCGCGCATCGACGACGATTAATTAATAAATACAAATTCTGCTACCGTTTTGCACTTTAAAAGCTGTCAGCATTTTTTTTTCTATAACACGTACGTATACATTTGTTATTAATATAAAAATATTTATTATCCCTTTATGAAAATAATATAATTATTCAATAAAATCTGTAACAGAATATCTGTTTACAAGCAGTATTGGTAATGAAAAAAGATTTAATATCATACGATAAATTTTTGCCATAAATACAAAACATTAATGAATAAATTCACATTCTTTTGAATAAAAAAATATGCGGAACATTCGTCGTGGACTAATAAACAATAAGTCTCTTTGGCATCTTTATATACATGCATATATATATATATATATATATAATATATGTATATATATATATACATATACTCATTAGATATATACATATAATAAAATATATACATATAATTATCTGATATAGATATATGTAAATATACATATCAAATAATTTAAGCAGACAATAAAACGAACGTTAATTGAAGTTTTAATGCATTGAATGTCTAACTCGTGATTCTGTTTGATATTATATCGCTATGTTTGCAAATTCCATACCTACAAATCACATTTAAAAGACATATATTACGTAATGACCTCTTTCTCGTCCCGTTCGTTGTCCCATGTCGTCCGAGAGATACGAGGTAAAAATATCCGAAAGGATAAATATTCTCGAGTGATAACGTTTAAAACTGATATCACCGATAAAATGCCACGCTCTCCCATATTAATGCGTCGACAACAAAAACATTTTTTCGCCTATTAGCTCCGGTTTGGCGGCTCGCGGCGCTAAAATGATATTGAATGCGCAGGTATGAAATTAAAATGGCTTGCGTACAATACACACGGCCGGCGGCGCGGCGCGTCCCTGTTTTTCGTCCCGCGATTTCGAAAATGCGCATCCGGATTTTAATATATAGACGGAAATAATGGAAAAGAGAGCCGAGATATTAAATATCGTCGCGCGCGCGTGCCGCGATATTTACGTTTAGTCTCGCGCAAAATATTTGCGCCGCCGTTGAATCCGCCACGCGGGTGTATTACACGTATCATATGAACCCGAAAACGACAACAACAACAATCTGCGCGCTGGTCGGGAGAAGGCACACTACCGTTCTGCTCTGCAGCCTACACCGCCGGACCGACGTCAATGGTTCATCGAATGACTTTCCCCAGTGTCGGGTGACAGAGCTTTTAGAATCCATCCATGAGTAAACCAACCCGATGACTGCGAACGTATTACTACTATATCCGGGGGTACCGTCTCCCCTCCCTCCCGCCCGTTATGGTCTCGAATCGCGCGCGAGGGTGCAATAAAAATAATTTACTGTTTCACCATGATTCAGTTGCACAAATATATTGTCAAGTGGTAGTGGATTTAACGAAGTATGTGTATATACTACATATGTTATATTATATATATATATATATATTATATAACATATGTAATATATACACATACTTCGTTAAATCCACTACCACTTGACAATATATTTGGGCAACTGAATATTAACACAGCGATAAATGCACAATTTTATCCCACTTCGTTACGAAATGAATGTTCTTTCGATTAAAAAACAAAAGAAAGAAAAATTTGGATTATTTCTCTAACAATTTTTTATACGTTCGTAAGCGTAAATATGTGATACAAAATTTGTGAGCGCAAACAGGCAGCAGGGACGCAGAGAAGAATGCGGAAAACTTTTTTTTCAATCTTCTTTGACGAAAATAAACGTGACGTCTCTCGAACGACGAAAACTCCACGTGCCTCTTCGCAGAAATGAGATCTGATCGCGCGCCTGATTGTATTCGGAGACGAATTAAGCCGCTAATTGCGACTTCCCATGAGGATAATCTCACCTCATTAGATAATCCTGACATTGCTGCACATCGGTTCTATACGCGCGAGGCTCAATAACGTCAAAGACCGTAATTGCCCGATTCCGCAGCCGTTCGGAATGGCGCTCGAAACGCGAGATATCGAAAGCGGTAAAGACATGGGTCGCTATCCCCACATAACTCTGACCTAGATTTTCTATGATTTTTACCTCTCCGCTTTCGAGCTTTCATAGACTTTTTTTTTTAATTTGAACAACTACCACTACTGAATTTCGAGCTGCTGTGTTTGAACGGCAGCAGAAACTCCGTTCAGGATTATTCGCGCAGATTGCAGGTCTTATGTCACAACACGTGCACGTGTGCGTGTTGCAACGATAATTAGAATTGTTGAAGAAATTTCGTCGGTTTCATCCGGGACACCGCGTATCAGGTCTCAACGAGGCACATCCTCTTTTGCAATACGGAAAACAAGAAGTGATTAGTTACTTTCAGGATATAATTATACCTCCGCGTGTGCGTATGCGCAACGCCGTCTCCGTAATCTTCGCTATTTATAATCTCAATGGCATCCCCCCATCCCGCGCCCATCTCGCTATATAGCATACCGCAAATGATTTTTTGCCACTTGGATCTTCTTTCAAATGTCGTCGACGTAATTGTCGTCATTAAAGCCGGCCATTATATCTTTTCGCCTTCCCACCCAGAAGCGATGAGTGATATCTGTAAAAACTGTCCTAACTCTAATAGCTGGCTCGCGGTATCAAACGTTAAAGGAAAAAAAAAAAGAAAAAGAAAAACCGCTCGTGCACAATTTACACCTGCAGAACGTAGGTAACGTTTACCTGTTAACCCTTTCGTCGCATGTAAAAATACGCGTGTGCGTTTATATAGGCTCACAGGTGACATACTACTCTTAGGTGGCTCGGTAAAGAAAGCTGTAAGAAACGATCGATCAAGGCGTCGCTAATCTACATGGGAATAATAAACGTGGCCAGTGCACCGTAATCGCGGTGTGCACATGCTTGCCTTGCGCGTTTTTTTAAAAAAGGCAGCCACGAAGCGGTGCCACGGCGGAAAGGTTAATACCAGTTAAAGTTCAACCGCGTGTTCCCGACGAGTGTGGCGACGGCAACGGCGACGGCGGGCTGACGATCAGGTATCGATGCAACAACGTCGTAACGACACGACATGTTCCTCGCTCGGCTACGCGCGATAATTAAGTGTCGCCCGACGACGCTCGATCCCGCCGTGCCGGCCTCTAATATCCGCGCGCGGCCGTCCGATAATATCTGTAATCCGCGCAAAACGATTTCGACGCGCGTGGGGCAACTAAACGGCATGCGAGCGCGCGTACCCCGTGCCTCATAATTAGTCGGGAGACACAGAGGAACGGCGGAATATAGAGAGAGGACGCGCGCGATCATAATTGCCGCTCGCGCGTCCGCGGCCGGGCACAATCAATTAAATGGTGCGCGCGTTCGCCATCGCGAGACGGAACGGGGCCTCCCTCCGTCCCTCCCGGCTTCCCCCTTCTCGCCCCGTTATAAATCGACATTCCTTTTTTTTCCCTCCCCTCCACGAATAATCCCTAATTGAGTGGTCTGCATGTATATCGGAAAGATAAATTTTGAAAAATCGACGTCGCGCCCGTGATAAATGCAAATTGCCCATCTGCACTCCGGGATTATCAGCACGAACATTAATTTCCTAGAATTTATACGCCCTTCTCCGCATTTTTTTTTTTGTAAATTTCAAGGGTATTTTAAATAAAATGAAGAACGATGCTATCGCGTAACTGTTAAATGAAGTTGCGCGACGACGTGCGCTATCATTTGTATCAGCATTGTATTTAAATTGTTAACGCGATATCTTTATTACCCCGTTCGTGACGTAATCGAGATCGATACGTCGTGCAGTTGAACGTAAATTAAACGGTATTACCTTACACATCTTATCGTGCTTCCTGCGGATTTTTTAACGTACACAACAATAATTACTCTTCGATAACCGCCGCCGCGGTAGCGCTTTTTAACCGACTTTGTACGACGCCTCTCTTTCTCTCTCGCGGGAAGTTTTAATGAAATGAAAGGAAAAACTCGGGATAAAGTTTTGAGGCGCCATGTTACGTCACATGAACTAAAACTTATAAAACTTGCGGAGTCTTCATCCACTTGTCTTGCCTGTGTACCTTAACTTTAGGAAATACGGCGGACGCCGGGATATTTGCGTTGATAACCGCGCGGAGGAATTAATATATAAAAAGTAAAGTGTGACACGTAATCCGAAATCGCGGCGCGAGCGTGAAACGTAAATTAAAGCGGAAGAGATTTACAATCCCCTTTTTGCTACCGACATAAATGAAAACATGCGCAAGAAACTATCTTGATAAAGGACAATCACATTACGGAAATTTTAATTAGAGAAAAACCGTTTCCGGCTCTTTCCCTTTTAAATGTGACAGGGAAGAGCTAACTAAAAGAACATTACAGCTAATTTGAAAATTAATTAAATTAAGTACCGCTTTCGTAATGGGTTTGTCAAATGTAATATTCGATATTTTCAATATCAAAGGAAAATTCGATAAAATATTAAATTATGTTGGAAAAACGCTGACAAAAGGATATTGAAATAATATGTAATTAGCTCCTAGATTATTGATTGGTCGTTTTAATGAGAAGTTAAATTTACGAAATTATGTGTACACATGCTTAAGATTGATTAAATAACTATACGAGAGACCGGGGAGGGGGGCGGGCGGGAGGAGAATTACGTTAATCCCGTTATCACGTTTCACGTTGATTTTAACTATGCAGCACGATGCATATGCTCCAAACGCGGAATCGTTAAATCTTAAAAGATAGCTTATCGTTAAATAGACAATCGAACAGTATTACCTGTTGCTGCGCAGCGGCGAGTTGGTGTTCCGAAACATCCGCTTCTGAAAATCAAAAACATTTCACAGATAAGTTTTCGTGCAAACAATAACGGTGCTTAATATATTTTTATTCATATTTAATTGGTATAATTTTAAATAACAAGCGTAACATTTATATTGTTCAGATAGATATAAGTATCTTAGGAGTTTGCGTAACGTGCGAGAGTGCTCAGATTTTCGTTTCTGTTTTCAGGTACCCGTCACCGGTGCAGAATGGAGGACCAAACGGCACGACGACAATGAATTGCGCGAGTTCTCAAGGTAAGGATATAGGACGCCGCTCGTCCGAACGTCGCGGTGACATCGGCGCGGATCTCGCCCTTCGCGAAAGATTCGAAAACAATTCCGCTAATTCAATATGCCGCGCAACGTTCGCGCGTTCGTTGCATTTAATTACTACCGACCGCGCACTGGCAATAAAGCCGCCGCGACTCGCAATAAAAGTGGAGAGAAAAAGAGAGACAGAGTGAGTGAGTGAG